CAAATGCATTAAAGCAGCTGGATTGTTTCTCTGCCTGGAGGGCTTAAGGTAACATCAGTAATTAGTCAGGGTAAAAACAAAACAAATAAACAAAAGCAGCAGTTTTCCTCCTTTTGCTGGGATTGCTTGTGGCGCAAGAATCAGACTGGGGGTCTTTTCAGGTGTTGGTTTTTGGCCTGGAGACTTGCTTCCCCCTTGGCCCTGAATGGCTGTGTTGAAGAACAGGACTTCCTTTCTTCAGAAAGCTCTTTCGCCTGCCCTGGCCATTGTTTACATGTGTAACCATTTTGAAGCAGTTTGGGGCAAAGTGTGCGGTCTAGGCTCCCCAGAGGTGGTTGAGAGTTATCTCTTTTCGTTGAAGAGGACTAGCCGACTCCTGAATTGTGTGAGCACCGGTGGTTAAGAAGCAACAGTGGGAATAACAGGTGGTGTCTAATGACAAACTTCAGAGCATCTTGCAGTCAAGCCATAATTGAGTAATCTATCATTACAGCATGGATTCTAAACTCAGCAGTTTTATTTTGAAGTCGCCTTTGCTCTGTGGTCTCTCTCTCTCCCCTCCCCCCCTTGCTCACATAGGTCAGCATTTTTGCTTCATCATCATTTTTGAAAAAGTATTGTGCAATCTAATGGGCTTCCCTTCCTTTGGGCCACATCCTTTTTTTTTTAGGTCTGTGTCTCAAAGCGGACTCGCTGTAAGTCAGTTAATCTTGGAGCTAAATTCCAACCACCCTTCATACCTCCTCTGCTGGCTCAGCCCTGAATTTTACAACCTGTTAAAAGGATTTAGTGAAAAATCTGTGATGTCAGAAGGGTGGAAGTTCCAGAGATAGGAGTGCTTCATTATTTTAGAAAATCAAGCATTGTGTTTGCCTAACTCAGAGGTGTTTTTGGATTGTTGTGACCTGCTGTCAAGTTATTTCCAGGACATAATGGAGACCCTGTTAATTAGGGACCTTCAGAAGGTTTTGTTTTTAATACACCGGCTCAGCTTGTGCATACTCAAGGCTCTCTTATTGTTATTGAATCAACCCATCTCTTATTGACTCTTCTGTTGCCTTCAACATTTCTCAGCATTACTGTCTTTGCAGTAAGTCTTGTCTTCTCATTATGTTCTCCCCAAAAAGAGACTCAGTTTAGTAATTTATGCTTCTAAAATGAGCTCAGACTTGATTTGATCCAGAATCCACATAATTGTCTTTCTGGTGGTCCATGGTTCTCTATAAAACTTTTCTCCAGCATGTTTTAAATAGATATTTATTTATGCTTTCTTCCTTTTCCAGTTTTCACATCTGTGAACAGTAACCAGGAATATTATAATATGCTTGATACAGTATTTGCTTTGGTCTCCACTGGCACATTTGAGGATCTCTTCTGGTTCCTTCCCAGCTACATTTCCAAGTTTTTGCACTTGAAATTCTATACTTACTGGCCATGCTAGCCATTCAAATCTGGGAGCAGTAGTCTGAAGAATTATGTTTCCCAAGCTCTCAGCTCAGCCCCGCTTCCCCTTTTCAGAAGAGGTCTTTTCAAAGAATATGGCAATGTCCACTTGTAAAGTAGTTGTCCTGTCTTCCAGAACCTTGAACTTCTAACAGATGTTTGAAATGTTGCTTTGGCCAGAATAAATTTGTCACTCTTTTGATTCTGTAAAATTTCTGGTTGTGCTTATTTGACACCCGTTGTAAGCATCCAGACTTCTGTCATGCTTTCATCTTGCCATGATTATTCTTCCCCCCCCCCAACATTTCATTGGGAGCTTGAGATGTTTATCTACATACTGTTTGTCCTGTTTGCTTGATTGCTTTGAGGACAAGGGTGGATAGAGTTGGGGTCTTGGGTTTGCTGGCTCTGTGGTTGATGAATTCCAGTGACAAGGTAGTGTTGCTGCTTCACTTAGTGTGTATGCGGAGTGTATGCCCAAGAATAAAGCAGAATGTCCAATAGCTGGGAACAAAGCATGCCTGTTGTAAAGTGAATTTGAAACAGACTTATAGTATAGTAGAACTGTAATGGATGGTATATTGACAGTAAAAGTAGCAGATAAAATAGGGGGAGGTATGGAGTTGTGGCTTGCCATTCCATATGCATTGTCTCCAACACATTTTGGTATCACCTGGCAGGACAAAGTGCTAAATAGAGGAGTCCTAGAATGAGCTGGAATTTTTAGCATGTGTACATTACTGAAACAGCGATGTCTACGTTGGCTTGGGCATGTCGTTAGAATGGTTGACAGTCGGATTCCAAAATATCTCCTGTGTGGAGAATTAGTGCAGGGAAATTGCCCCAGAGGGAGACCACAGCTGTGATACAAGGATATCTGCAAGTAGGATCTGAAGGCCTTAGGAATGGACCTCAACTGATGGGAAACTTTGACATCTGAGCATTCAGCCTGGAGGCAGGCGGTCTATCATGGCCTCTCCCAATTTGAAGAGACACTTGTTCAGCAGGCTGAGGCAAAGAGGCAGTCCCGAAAGTAGCAAAATCAGGGAGCTGGACAGGGGACAGATTGTATTTGTCTTCAGTGGGGAAGGGATTGTCACTCTTGAATTGGCCTCCTCAGCCACACTAGGTGCTGTCCCAAGTCCGCCATACAGAGTATGTTACCATAGTCTCTGGAGAATGAAGGATGCTTAATCTAAAAGGCTCTTACTGAGTGCAAAAATTAAGGGCATGGCCTCCTACTGAGGGGCTATAAATCTTTTCTTTTTAAAGAAAAGGGCTGGTTAAGAGCCATTGTGTAATGGTTCTAGACACTGCTTTGCATGGTAGGGCAACTGGGTGTGTTTATTAGGCTCCTCAGTGGCTTAGGCATCTGGCTGCAGAGCCAGAGGTTAGGAATCTGATTCCTTGTTGTGCCTCCTGAAAGTAGACCAAGCCTGGGTGGCCTTGGGCATGCTGCACAGCTCCAGGGCACCTTCAGAAAAAAGGAATGGTAAACCACTTTTGAGTAATTCTCTACCTGGATAACCCCGAAAAGAATCTCCATAAGTCAGAATTGACTTGATGGCTCATGACAATACTAACACAAATTCAGTGCAGCATTTGCATTTCCATTTCCTGCCATTAGGAGACTCCTCTGGCGCATAGTTCAGTGGGAGCTTCTCTCAGCAATAGTTGCATGGATACAAATGGCGAATGTTTCTGCCCAGGCTCAGCATCCTAAGATACAATGTGTTTTCTACAGGAGAAGTCACAAACATCTTCTCAAATGATGGTTAGCGTGTGAGCAGAGAGCTGTAAGGTGCTTATCGACAAAGCTAATGGGGTTG